CACATATAGTGTGTTAATTTGATCAACTAAACTTACTTGCAGAAACCTCCAAATTCTTATATCATGGAGATCCTTTTTAGAGTATCTGTATCTTTAAGAATGTCAAGTTGATATCATTCAGACAGGTGAAAGAGGCATACTTTTCAGATCCAATATCATTTAATAAAGCATCAACAAGAAAATTGTGAATGCATGAAAATACATCACTTTATAGAGCTCTGATCTGAACTTCCATAGAGAGTATATATTTGGCTTAAATTCTGCATATCAAAGCTACTGTCTTCCAAGGACATTTTGAATATACAGCCATACAAGATTAGAACCTTCATCTCAGGGTAGCTCTATCCTAAGTCTGTTGTAAATAATACAATTTAAGAGGACACTGTGATTGATCAAAGAGAAGTAATCCATAATCACAGTAATTGATGGGCTCCAAGATGTTAAAACATTCTTCCACTTTGCACATAGTTCTTGCATTAATGATAACAGACTTTCAATTACGAACAGCCTTTTTTTGGTCCATTGAATAACCTGCCTCTAATCAAACTTCATAGAGTCTCAAAAACAGAATAGTAACTACCTACCTCAGTTTCCTCTCAATGCAACAGATCACCATACATGGCATTTTCAAAAAACTTCAATATCAGAAACTAAATAACTAATTCTTCTAATAAGAGAACATAAAGGACTCCCATGCTTCCCGTATTTTAGTTTTGCACCACAGCCTCCCCATTCAGGAAGTTTTCTGACATTTTTTGATATATATTTACATTATATACATTGTTCTTAACATTTACTAGATAGAAGCACTGTCTCTGAATACGACAAAAGAATCCTTTATACCCACTATTTCAAAATGACTGTTCCAGTATGCGGCGTTTCACTCAAACCGCTTCCTGAAAGCAAAGGTCTGTGTGATCTTCAAACTCCCACCCACTTTTGAACACAAGGAGAAACCTTTTTCATGTGAATTTTATATATCTTAAAGACATTTTCTCAAGACATTGATGTCTTGAAGGATTCAGAAGACATATCCAGATACAGCATTCTCTTTCTTGGAAAGGGAGGGTTGGGTAATTGAAATTATTGGACTGTATACCTTATAACTTTGGACAAGTTTTTCCCTCAGATAGTTTAGCCAGACAGAGAGAAATAAAAATTATAGGCAGACATATAGTCCCTTCATGACTAGGTGTAGTTTTGCCTTCATCTGTCAATTGATTTTGCACTCATGTGGTATCTCCTTACAGGCACTACACATTGCAGAGTTGTAAAAGGTCTTTCACAAAACTCAAACTCAGTCACGCCTTTTCTTGTCCCTTACAGAGTCCCCCCAAAACAACACAGGCTCAGTGCAGCACAGCAAGGGCTCAGTGCATTGCTGCATATGGATATCTCTCTGGTTCCTTTTTCTTATCATCATAAAACACAATAGCATCCAAAGACAGAAATTTATTCATAAGAAAAACAAACAAAGTTCACATATCCTCTGCCCCTCCTCAATATGCTTTCAGAATCATCTTTCTTCTTCAGGTAGACCAGTTCCCAGTCCTTAAGTCCTCTTTCTTCAGGCCCTATAAAAGCTACCTTCCCCAGTGAGGTTTCTTTTCCACCGAGGAGTCTCCTGATAGGTCACTGCAGACAACTTTTCGAGACAATTTAACTTCTCTGCAGCTCTGCCTGATAAATCAACTATCCCACCTATTTCCAGGTGGATGTGTAAGAGCTAAAAGGACTCCTGGCTTCCATTGGTCTTTTCTCTGATATACTACAGACATGTAACAAAGTCTGAGTCATCACATGTGCCATTTTCCACTGTGCTAGTGTGTTCACGGTAATAATTAACATGCTGGATTCTATTTCCTTAGTTGTTTTCCTATTCAAATTTTCCACTATAATCACAGTGTACATTCTGGAACAAATATAATTACCCCCACCATAAAAAGTACTGCCCTAAGAAAACATTTCAAAACAGTGAGCCCAAATGAACTTTTCAGATCATCTACTAGAATTTAATTTTTATATATAATCTATTAATTCCAGATATCTCCCAGTACTACAGGGATAGAAAGAAGTGAAAAAAAATGCTTGTGCATAATCTTAGCTTATTCTAGGAGTTCTCTTACTTCAGCCATTTTTAAAGTTTTTTTTTTTTCTTTCTCCCATGGCTTTTTAAGTAACAACAGGTGGTGATCAAACTTATTTTGGATATTGCAAGCTTTGCTTTGCCAGCTGGCATGCTGTCCAGTCTCCTAAGAATGCTTCTCTGGTCAGAGCTTTTCAGGGGTTACCATGACAAACATCTGGTAATTGTATAGGAGAGCAAACAGCCAAATTTTCCCTATGTTCTCTATTGTACAACTGTTAGTGTAGGTTCCAAAGTATGTATCTTTTTGTCACAAACAACTTGTAGATGCATGTTACATTTTCTCTCTGTAAGAGAAAGACACAAGAACAGTGTATATCTGCATAAATCAGTGAATATTCTAACAAGTTTATTTCATTCTCACCGCTAATTTAACTTTGTTACAAGACAGATACTTCTTTTTTTTTTTAACCGCTTTGCCTTCTATTCTATTGCTGTGTCCCAGTGCAGTAGTATTAGTTCAAAGATCCTTCAGTATCAGCAGGTTCACTGAGGCTCTATGAAAATATGAGTAAAACTTGACAGTAGCAGTAGCTACCTCAGATATTCTGTACATGTGGATCTCATTTAAAACACACTGCACCCTTCAGAGAGCTCAGCATGTTATCACCAGCAGCATACAGCAGCGACCACAGGTTTCCCATCCTGTATGCTTTCATGTATCCCTAGTCTGAAAGTTGGAGGAACTCCAACCAGTTCTCTCTTTCTCCCTCAGGATCCAGATAATAAGAATCAAAACTCTGGGAAAAAGATGGCAAGTCATGGGATCCACACACGCAGACAGACTGAGAAGTAATCAAACTCTGAGCATGTGTATATGCGTACCTTGCTCAGAATGATGTCAAGCAGTCTGTTCACATTGGAGATGGAAACTGAAAAAATCTGGAAATTGAAGGGCCACTCATTCAATTTGACCCTAAGGATCTCACTGAAATGTAATAGTTAGAAAATGTATCAGATGAGTTCCATGTGGCTGCAGGAATTCTACTAAAATATGCTGCCAGGGGAGCTTATGATCTAGTTGCGCTAGGATCATAATACAAGTTGGAGATATTATCTTAAAGCCAAAAACTGTCTTTAAACAACTGGCAAATCTTTTCAGCATGTGAAAGAGACCGAAAGAGATTTTACCTAGCATCTTCCATTTAAGGATTGCCACAAATCAAGAGCGATCTGCAGAAAAAAAAAATCAGTATAGTCCAAGTAGTATAACAATATTCTTTGATATCTTCACATATCCAATGAGTATGCACTGCTTTTCCCTTGAAAGAGATGAAGAATGGCTGTTTAAGCAGCCAGGAGTCAGAGCAGCTAAATTATACTCTGAACAGCTGAGGAGTGAGTGAGGGACAGGCTGCTGCCACAACCAAAGGTACTAGGTGTGGTGGCTGAGAGCTCCTCCCCAAATCTCACCCCTGACACTCTCA